TATTCAATGTGAGCATATTTAAATATGAGCACATATTAAATTCATATTGCATTTTATGTTTCCATTAGAAACCATTTACAAACTTTGCTTTATCTTCAATAAGATTTTTCTCACTGCAGTTTCCAAGAACTTACTTTATATGAATGGAATGAAAACAAACACAATTAAATGTGAACGCAACCTTTGCGTGTTATTTTACTGCAAATTATCAAATCCAGTTGAATATAAAAGAAAATCTCCTCGATTCCACTGCTACTTGCTAAAAGAAGGAAGCCACTTGAAGCCAACTCCACGCTTCTCATTCTAATAACCCTAAGTGCTTTCAACTTTCAAATTGAAAAGTCAACAGAGAGCATAGCCAAACAGCAAAAACAGCAAATAGCACAGAAGTTGAGCGCACAAAACAACAGAAAACGAATCGGGAGCTGAGCTTGAAATGGAGAGGATGGGGCGTCGAGTTGGATAGAGTATGACGCGACTTAAAATTACAAAAGATTAAAAAGCGAAATATAAATATTTATCTGCGGTGCGGGCTTGACGCTGACAGTCAGTCAGGCAGGGAGTCAGTCGGGCAGCGAGGCTCAAACGAGTCCAGGAGTTATGCATGCAAAATAGTGCCACAACCCCGGACACAGTGTCAGGCAGCACAGTACACTGGATGTGGTTGAGGGGAGGGCGCTGCTCCGGGTGATGGTTGCGGTATAAAGGTGCCTTTGTTGGAGACGCCGTGGCGTTTGCGACATTTTGAGCTCATGTAAATCCATTTTAATTAATTCGAGACAAAGGTTATATCCTGGCATAATAATGAACTGAGACCCGGGACCAAAACCTTCAGGTGTGCCCACGCTCAGCTTTTCCAAAGGATTTGCATTTCATTTCAAGTGGATGAACGAATCTGAATCAGAATCGCCGCCCAGTCACTGCCCGGCCGGCGAGCCGGACTGACTCGCCTGACTGATGCTGCAAATTAAAACTGTAAGATTAGAATAAATACAAGTACAAGTCGGAACGGCAAATGGATGCTCAACTGGCTGCCCATTGCCGGAACTGAAAGTCAAAAATCGCAAATTTGATTACGTTATATTCGAATACTAAGTGGATTTGAATATTGATTGCAGCTTAGTCGCAGCAGCCCGAATGAATCGCCAGCCGTCAAAATCGCTCTATTTGCATATTGCTTTTTGCACGGCAAGAACTGGGCAAGAACTTTTGTGTACAACTTATCCGCTTTGCTTGGCAATTTTGCGTAAATCAGCTTACAGAAATTACAGTCAACGACGAATACTTGAGCGCACGAGTTGAGTGTTTCAGTGTTTGCCTCGAAGAGTCTCGATAGTCGGTCTCCAGCTGCTGGCCGGGACACAATTATGTACAGGCCGGTGTTCCAAGCAGCAATCCCCGGCGACATTCGACGACATTGGCAAATCTGCACTTGCTTAACTTAATTACGAGAGTTGTGCAAATAAAATAAAAGTTCCAAGCCGAAACTGCAGAGTCAGGCCCGTATAAGTTTTTGGCACAGTTCAAATTTCAGAGCGTGCAAAGAGGCCTTAACCGAGAGGCCCTAAACTGATTGCCACAAACTAAACGGCCGGGCCAAATGTGCTCCGCAATTTGGTCAGCTCAAACTCAAAGTCATAACAGTTTGGCAGGCAGCATGCCATGCTTCTTTCCTCACCCTCACCCTCGCCCTCGCCAGCACCATCATTTATGCTTTTGAGCGCATAATTGCCTGTAATTAAGGTGTATTGCCCAGGCCAAAGAGAAGCAAATAAAAATTCGATATCAGAGGCCAGACAGCCCGAGAGCTCGGCTCACTGCAGCACACAAATTGGCTGCATGCATGGCCAAAATGTGCATCTGGGTCGGTGCCTTTGAGCTGTCATTGAACACAACCCGAACCATCGACAATTTGCTAACTGCTTGGCTAGTATACTCTCATTATGTAGGCGCACACACATGCACTGAAAACCATTTTGTTTAAGGCTCCCCAAAAATTGTGTTAAGCTTTGATGGAAATTGCTTCAAATACATTTTGTGCATACAAAATAAAAGGAACGAAACGAGTTAGTTGCGAGCCAACTGTTTACTTTTAGCAATTGGAATTAGTTCGAAATATTGTTTCATAGAAACGAAATAGTTAAATATAAAATTCACTAAATGAAAAAAAAATCTTGATAGTGCTCCGAAGCTTAAATACCCTAGAAATCAAGTAACTCTCCAAAGAAGTGCTCGGCCGACTTTGATATATATGAACTATTTGCCGGAAAAAGGGGCACATATGCTATGCTCTAGCAAAGCAGCTTCAACAGAGGCAGATAAATGGATATGGTTATAGATATTATATATATACTCTGCTCTGATAAAATCGTAGGCAAAATTGTAATACCACTTGCAAGAGTAAACAAATAGAAATGATTGTTAATGCACTTTCGGCAACGCATACAAAAATAAAATAACAAAAATCAAATTTACAGTTAAAAAGCAAAAAAATAAAAGAATTGAATTGAAAGTACAGTGAAAATGTTCAAAGTGTGCGGCAAATTTGTTTCTAATTTTCCGCTCTACTTAAAACTGAAAATTCCAACGAGTAAAACGGGATAGATAAAGAAGCTGTTTACAAATAGAAAAAGATGGTGCTCGAGAGACGAAGGGAAATGGCGAAGTCAACTATACTGGAAGGAGCATGCAAATACTCGTATGTCCCGTATTGGGAAAAAAATTAAATTTGCATATATGCATTTGTTATTGTTGTTGTCTGTGTGTAGGCGGCTGCACATAACAACAGAGCCTGAAAGGCTACGGATGTTGCAGAGCAACCTACACACACACACACATACACGCACACACGCACACGCTGGCAAGTTTTATGGAATTTTTGCAATTCCTTTGTCAGCCATTTTCAGACAGTGAGTAATTTGAAGAGACGTGCACTATAGCTTATGGAATAACGTTTAGACGAGATTATCATATCGACCCAGATATACTGATTAGTTTGCCATTGTAAATGGCCTCTAACTCCGCCATAGGCCATTATGTGTGCCAGAATATATCCAGTTATATGTAGCGTGCATTTGTAAGCTGTTTAGCAGGTTAATGTGGCACGAAGTCTCGAGTCATAATCAAGTCGTGTGGAAGTCAACACGGCTGCAGGTCATTTCTAAATGAATTATTGCTTGGCCAGAAAATTAGTAGTAAATAACTTTAAGAAACATGAATTATTATGTAATTTCTTCTCTAACATGATGGCTATTCTCAACGTTTTTGATTTTATTTATAAAAGGAATATTAATGATACTATTAAAGCTTAAGGTAATATTGGCAGACTTTTCCGCAAGTGCTAGCACTTGGTCTGATAGATATAAAGAAAGACATATACCGATACAATATCTATAAAAAACATGCGATTAACAAATGGTTTTTTTTATTTATTTTTTATTTTAAATCTCTAACTTAATGCAGTATACCATTCGACTTCCGAAGAAAATGTTCTTGCATTATCTAATAATTTATATTAATTACAAATGTTTTGCTGCGTTGTCAACATCGCCTAGGCACGTCTCTTGTCGCAGCTGTTAGAGTTGCTTCTTATGGAATAAAAGTAATACGAATTCCATTTAATTTAGGTACGCTTGTTAATTTGTATATAACTGTATACGTAAATGTAAATATATATATACATATACATAAATAATTACAGACTGCGCCTGTGGTAATGTCCGACTCGTTCGTGGCCGTTGCGCATCCGGAGACAAATCCTGGGGCAGTGGCCGTCCCAGTTCGTGGTCCGCTGGCCAGGGCAACGCGTCACGCATATATTAATAAATACAGTCGCGCCTAAGAGGCGAGCTGGGTATAAGGCTAAGTGCTGTATGAGTGGAGCTGGCTGGAACGGATTCCCAGACACGTTTGTGTCCGCGACACACGCGGCGTATGCGTAATTTTTGCGAATACGTACGCTCTGGCTGGCATGCGTGACAATGAAATCGAATTTGCTCATTAAAATGGGACAGTTGCGGTGCCAATGCGTGGCCAAAGATATTGCGTACCCGACACGTGGTACGCGCAAGTAGAGCGTGCAGCTCTCACACGGAAAACCACGAGATATTGGGCCTTTAAGCAGACACGGCCCAAAGCCAGCAAAGAATGAAAACGAATGAGTGATTTTGCAGGCAAAGTAAAGTAAGTACATATTATAATAAGCGAGCCAAGCCCCGCCACGGCATTCGCCGTGCACGCACACATATTCGTACTTATGCTTGTGTGTGTGTACTCCTGTGTGTAGTTCGTACGTTGCCTTTTATGTTGGCTCGTACCTGATCCTGATATTGTTGTTGTTGCGCTGTTCCCGTTGTCTCCTTTATGACTTTGTTTCACATTCTTAATTAACAAGCGAGCTCTGCCTCATGTGTTGGATTATCTTGCTTGTGTTTTAGCCTTAAGCTCCCTCTTACGCCAGACATGTCGCAGTTGTCGTGCTTTGTCTTAAAGTTGCAACAGCAACGCCTCCGGAAACTTCTTAAATTCAAACGTTTTGCTCCCAGCTTGCTTTGTCGTAAGGAAAAATATATATTATTTATTTGAGAATTATAAATTTACTAAATTTAAAAAAAAATTAAAAGTTCTTAACTTTCAACTGCTCCAGTAAATTATTTCTAAAGAATTAAAATTTTACACAATAACTTTGCAGAAAAACAATTTCAACAATTTCTACAACCTGGACTTAAAAGTTCTTTATATTTATTTTGAAAAGATTTGTGCATTAAAATGAAAATTGATATTATTGAAAAAAAAAACAATTTTAACAATTTTCGCAAACTCGCCTTAAAAGTTCTTTGTAATAAATATATACACTAAATTCTACAATTTATCCAAGCGTCACATTAAGTACTTCGACAATAATTATGTCGATTTAAAATGTATCGAGCAATAAGTTTGGTTAACAGTTTAAATATCAAATCGGAAGCCTTTGACATATATTTTCACCTGCTTAGCTACTATTTAAAATGTACGCTCAACCAAAAATTGAAGTCCAGCATTGGTTTAAAGAGTTGTCAATGCCTTTTCAGCAGAGCGTGCTCCACTTGTGGCATTCATACAAAGACATTTAAAGCAATTACGCCCCGGGGTATTATTCAACTGCAACTTGCTGACAGACACACATTTCGCTATGGCTTCGGCAAAAAGCAAAAGTGAAGCGAATTTCAGTTGCAGGCTGGCTGTCAGGCAGGGAGGATGGCGAGGAACTGGAGCTGAATCTCACTGCGACTGAGTCAGCAGAATAAGCACGAGGCATGCCGCAGAAGCACCAAAGTAGATATAACTTGCGGCAGGGCACTGAGACAATAACATTTAAATGATTTTAATGGCAGCTGTTCGATTTTATTGACTGTCGCGTTACGCTCCTGACACTCCTTGAAGCCCTGTGTACTGGGCCCTGTCATTGTGTGAAAATGTTATTTGCTAACTGAGAGTCATCAGCGGCGAGGCAGCTGAGTAGAACTCATCTACAACGGCAACTGTATGAAGGTGGCGGTCGCATAATAATAAAAATTATTGTTACTAGCGGCAAAATGTGTGTCATTGGGTTATTCTCATTCTTATTCTTACTCTTATACTTATTGCTGTTGTTGCAGCCACACCCAGCGGCAATTGAAATGCGCAGCCAAGCGGAACTTGCTCAAGTGAATGCAATGAAAATATCTAAAGCCAAGCAAAATGCTTGTGGCTCTACGCCGTAATCAAGATTTTGCTGCCACACTGCAAAAGCTGTCGCCAAGGATATCGAGCAGCGTCGGAAGCGGTGGGGTAAATTGGCAACGCTCTGCAACACATTGGCTCTGAATTGTGCGGGGCGTGCGATGCAAGTGAGTTTTATTTATATGGCATATCGATTTGTTGCACATAAATGTATGAACATCAATCGAGCTTTTCAATACTGATGTGCATTATTTTCACTGTTTTTTCCAAATTAAACAATATTGACAATATTAATTGCATTTTCAGATTTAAATAATAATACAGTTTAATAAAAAATGTATTATTTTCATATAACCAAATCCATAAAATACGTGAAATCCGAGAAAAAGTCGGGCTCGACCTGCGGGGTCGTTGAGTGCCATCAGGTTGTGTGCTATTATATAAAAACCACATTGCGACGTTGCGCTTAAAAAGGGAGTACATATGCATGTATTTGCTTAATAAATTTCGATTTGGTTGAATGAGTACAAATAACCTGAATGGGATTTATATAGAATAGGGAGCCAGAAAAATATCAAATTATTTTATAAAAAATGTATTTATACAAATAAAAGAAATAGAATTCATGTAATAAAGTTTCAACTGCTTATAAAATTACAGATTTACGTGTGAGAGCTTTTTTCTCTGGCAGTCAAAAAAAGCTTTATTACTTCGGCTCTATGGAAAAAGGGTGGAAAGTATTCAATATTTATTTTCTTATAAGTTAAAACCTACGACAATAATTTCAGTTGAGGCATGTTAATGCTGTCATATTAAATCAAACATTTATGTCAGCTGCCTCTTTTCGACAACATAATACTTGCAATTTAGAATAGGCATACGCATCCCAAATGTATAATAAAATACCTTGGTTGGCCTTGCGTGTGCTCCTTCACATTACGATCGCCTACTGCGAGCTGTAAAAAGAGGCTTGGGTAATTAATCCGTGACACTAATGCAAGCTGACGTAGCTAGGACAAGGGCGTAGCAACTTCATTCAGCCGGTTACACAAACCCTCATTGTAATTTCACAGTCAATTTAAAATTAATACGCGCATGTCGCAGGCTCTGTCTTGGCAGAGTCGGGAACGCCTTGCAAATGCAAATTGCATTTCGGCATAATCCCAAACGCAAGGCTAACACACAAGCCTGCCAAACAGGCTGGCAGGATACAAGGCTGAAAGGACAGGGTGCACAGAGGTGCAAACAACTTTGAGAGGGGCTAAGGTCTTAGACTGGATTCTGTTTACGTTTCTGGCGAGGACGCATCAAGGCGGCAAACCCTCGGTTGCGTTGCAAATGCGCTAAGGCGTCTACAAGGCAGCCCATCGTCTGAGCCTGGCAAGCAGCTAAATGACTTTGCTTGCAGTTGAGTTTAATTAAAAACGGATCTTGTTAAAATCAAGTCGGGTGGCAGCAGCACACATGATGCATATGGCATGGTGGCTGCGTCGGGTTTGTTTGCAAGTTTAATTGAAGCGCAGCAGAGTTGACAACATTTCAAATTTTTGCATTTGCCAGAGCGCACCTGAGCTTAACCAAATGTTGAGACTTCACCTCGCCTGGCGCGGGCGTCAGTTAAATTAATTTCACTGCAAACACAACAGCAACCAACTAACAATTAATTAATTGAAAGTGCGAGCTGGCAAGCAAACAATAATTGCAAATGCATTTGTTGCAAATGTACTGCAACAATCTGCATGTTTTTCCCATGCAACAAATTGTTGTATTTTACACATTGCCAACGGGTTTGCAAAATCTTTTCAAAATGCTGTGTATGTGTGTGTTTTGCTACTTATTTACAAGCTGCTTGTAATTACTCGTAGAAGTATGAAAATGTATTTAAGCCCCTGCTTCAGGCGCAATGTGGCAGCAATTAATTCAAATTGATTGAGACTTAAAAATAATTACATCAAATATGATTAATACCCTGTTAGCTCGTAGCGAATAAATAAAGGCAACTTTGATATACCATTTAGCCTCTCTAACAGTTGAATTAAGACCGAAGCTCCCAGATTCTTAAAGTAAACGCTAGGTACTCTGTTTTATAAATACTTTATTCCATATCTAACCACGTGCATATATACAGTAGAATATCTTAAAACTGTCTTAAAGAATGGACATAAATTAAGTACTTAATATAGAGCATCTATCAGTCGGGCACTATTGGCAAGAAAATGTTTGCTTATTTTATAATGCGAACAGTCTTGGATCTAGTAATTTGTACTTAATACACATTCTTTATGTCTTAGATTATATTTTTTTTTTATTGCAAGTTAATGTACATTCAAATAATTACTTTTAAAGATTGTCGGAAATATTGTCATACATTAATAATAATTTTTACTCTGTTTTCTTATTCTAGATTTTCTTTAAGTTTTCATTTATGTTATTTCATTTTAAAATTTGTTATTTAGCAGATAAGCTTAATTATTATGTAAGAAATAATATATGTTGGATATAATTTGCGAAAATAAATATTATAATAACACTTTTCCGCTGAAAAAAATTCTTTTATATTGAAATATAAAAAGGTATTTTATTCGCTACGTGCTTTAAATAAAATAAAGTTAACGTAGTAATCTTAATAATAAGCTTAAACTTACTATATTACTATACTAGCGGGTATACCCCGGCCGTGCCTTGGTACGGAACCCCATTATCGACTGACAAATAATAAAATTAACATTCGGGGGGTTATATAAAAATGTTAGACAAAAACAATTGTTAACTTTTTAGAATTTTATACTATTTGGACTCGTAAGGATCAGTACAATCGATCGGCATTAAAAATATGGGATGGGCTAAAAAAGGTTGTGGACCAAAAATCAATTCGTTTGTAAAGTCTACCTTTCTTGATGTTTTTTTAGAATATTTCGGCCAAATAATGTCCGATTTGGGAATTTTATACCATTTTGGACTCGTAAGGATCAGTACTATCGATCGGCATTAAAAAACTGAAAATCTAAATTTTGGCCCAAATTGTCAAAATGGCAAGGGGTTACATCACGTTTTTTCTTAAAATCGGGGTCGGTTCGAAAATCAAAACTTTTTGATGATTTTTTTTGAATATCTCGGGTAAATAACGTCTGATTTTTAAATGTTATACCTTTTTCAATTCGTACGGATCCCAACTATCAATTGGCATTCAAACAAATTTAAAATCGATGGGTAAAAAAAAGTTGTGGACCAAAATACGATTCGTTTGTAAAGTCAACCTTTCTTGATGGGTTTTTGGAATATCTCGGCCAAATAATGTCCGATTTTTGAATTTTATACCATTTTGGACTCGTTAGGATCAGTACTATCGATTGGCATTAAAAAACTGAATATCTAAATTTTGGCCCAACTTGTCAAAATGGCAAGGGGTTACATCACGTTTTTTCTTAAAATCGGGGTCGGTTCGAAAAGCAAAACTTTCTTGATGATTTTTTTTGAATATCTCGGGTAAATAACTTCAGATTTTTAAATATTATACCTTTTTGAATTCGTACGGATCCCTACTATCAATTGGCATTCAAACAAATTAAAAATCGATAGGTTAAAAAAAATTGTGGACCAAAATACGATTCGTTTGTAAAGTCAACCTTTCTTGATGGGTTTTTTGGAATATCTCGGCCAAATAATGTCGGATTTTGGAATTTTATACCATTTTGGACTCGTTAGGATCAGTACTATCGATCGGCATTAAAAAATTGAAAATCTAAATTTTGGCCCAAATTGTCAAAATGGCAAGGGGTTACGTTTTTTCTTAAAATCAGGGTCGGATCGAAAATCAAAACTTTTTTGATGATTTTTTTTTGAATATTTTGGGTAAATAACGTCTGATTTTTAAATGTTATACCTTTTTAAATTCGTACGGATCCCTACTATCAATTGTTATTTAAACAAATTAAAAATCGATGGGTTGAAAAAAGTTGTGGACCAAAATACGATTCGTTTGTAATGTCAACCTTTCTTGATGGGTTTTTGGAATATCTCGGTCAAATAATGTCCGATTTTGGAATTTTATACCATTTTGGACTCGTAAGGATCAGTACTATCGATCGGCATTAAAAAACTGAAAATCTAAATTTTGGCCCAAATTGTCAAAATGGCAAGGGGTTACATCACGTTTTTTCTTAAAATCAGGGTCGGATCGAAAATCAAAACTTTATTGATGATTTTTTTTGAATATCTCGGGTAAATAACGTCAGATTTTTAAATATTATACCTTTTTGAATTCGTACGGATCCCTACTATCAATTGGCATTCAAACAAATTAAAAATCGATAGGTTAAAAAAAATTGGAATTGTTATACCATTTTGGACTCGTAAGGATCAGTACTATCGATCGCATTAAAAAACTGAAAATCTAAATTTTGGCCCAAATTGTCAAAATGCAAGGGGTTACGTTTTTTCTTAAATCGGGTCGGTCGAAAATCAAAACTTTCTTGATGATTTTTTTTGAATATCTCGGGCAAATAACTTCAGATTTTTAAATATTATACCTTTTTGAATTCGTACGGATCCCTACTATCAATTGGCATTCAAACAAATTAAAAATCGATAGGTTAAAAAAATTTGGACCATACATTGGTCGTAAGGTCAACTATCGATGGGTTTGAAATCTACGGCCAAATTGTCTATTTTGAAGTTAATCAGTTTGGTCTTAGGATCAGTACGATCGAATCAAAACTTTATTGATGATTTTTTTTGAATATCTCGGGCAAATAACGTCAGATTTTTAAATATTATACCTTTTGGACTCGTAGGATCCTACTATCATGGCATTAAAAAACGTGAAAATCTCCCAAATTAATGGCATTCACACATTTTCTAAAATCGTCGGTTAAAACAAAACTTTTTGATGGGTTTTTTGGAATATCTCGGCAAATAATTCCGATTTTGTAAATTTATACCTTTTTGACTCGTAGGATTCTACTATGCAATTTCTTCAGGCCATTAATATCGTCGGCTAAATAATATTGGAATTTTATACCATTTTGGACTCGTTAGGATCAGTACTATCGATCGGCATTAAAAAACTGAAAATCTAAATTTTGGCCCAAATTGTCAAAATGGCAAGGGGTTACATCACGTTTTTTCTTAAAATCGGGGTCGGTTCGAAAATCAAAACTTTCTTGATGATTTTTTTTGAATATCTCGGGTAAATAACTTCAGATTTTTAAATATTATACCTTTTTGAATTCGTACGGATCCCTACTATCAATTGGCATTCAAACAAATTAA